AAGGACAAAAGAGTTTTGTCTGGTATTCGATGGTAGCTCACTATAGATCCAGGGGTATACTGATGCCGATTTCCAGTCAGATCCAGATGATAGAAAGTCTACATTTGGGTATGTTTTCACGATAGGATCGTGTGCTATTTGCTGGAAAAGCAGCAAACAGGGGTCCATGGCGGATTCCACAACCGAAGCCGAATACATTGCCGCAAGTGAAGTTGCTAAAGAAGCCGTATGGATGAAGAAGTTCATTCATGAATTGGGAGTAGTTCCATCTAGCACATCACCCATTCCACTGTTGTGTGACAACACTGAGCTATTGCTTAGGCTAAGGAGCCACGAGCCCACTCAAAGTCGAAGCACATCGAGAGGAAGTACCATTTACTGCGGGAGATAGTTGGAAGAGGGGACGCCCTGATTCAGAAGGTAGCATCAGCGGAGAATGTAGCAGACCCATTGACTAAGCCACTGACATAGAAAGTGTTTGAGAAACACGTGGAAAGTATGGAACTCCGGCTTATACCAGATTGGACCTAAGTGCAAGTGGGAGCTGTTAGACATTGTATGCCCTTAACTCCAATCAGAATGATGTACCTTATGACATTTATTGTAAATGAATAAAGTACATATTTGATTCATGTTATTGTGGTGTATTTCTGTGTAATACCCTTAAATTGAACACATATGAGACTCGTGTTAGTTTAGAATGTTCATAGCCGTTGGATAGATCTGGGGAGATTTATCTTGCCAAAGTCGACACTGATGTGCCGCCAAGTTGGTTGGGGTGGCTTGTCTCAGCTGCCAAGGTGAGACCTGAGGTACATGCAGTGTGGGCTTTCTTGAAACCCTGAACCGAACCAAAATTCCAGTATTGCCCTGGACCTTGGAGATTGATGGGCAAAACTAGAATGTTGCACCTGACCCCAAGATTCTATTATGATACTGCACTAGGTGTTGGATTGGGCTGTCTTTGATATGCCAATCAGTGAGATCCTTAGAGGGGGTCAAAACCTGGGTATGTTGGGACAGTCCGAGAATTCATCTGAGTGGGTGATCATAGTGACAGGATCAGTCCCTTTGTC